ATCGAAAACCATGTTTTAAACTGATTTAAAATCCAACTAGTGTGTTTTTTGAGTGTGAGGTTTTGGGTTTAAACTCAACACTCTAGTGTATATAATAAGCATATATGGGAATTAAGTGTTGGAATTGTAGAAATTAATAAAAAGGAACACCAGCAAAAGCAAGAAAGAGGCATTAGCAACTTATATGAAGGCAGAATCCAACCAGCAATAGGGCAAGTGGAGCAGATGATATGGCTACTTGGTTTGGGACTAAAGCACAGGGGGCACAGATATGGAACTCAGAAATGTAAGGGAGAGAAGATGAACAGTAAGAGTGCTTGGTTCAAGGAATGGGTTTTGTATATGCACGAAAACGGCGAGACTTTTTCGAACATTTTTTGATAAATGTGAGACGTCTGTCACTGTATGAAGAAGCAATGAACGTGTGCCACGTGTCCCAGTAAGGACCCGATGTAAGATACGCGAACGACAGGCTGTGTGACGGGCACGATTCTGGTAAACCAAGCTACCTAGAGATGAACGTGTCTATAGTTCTGATAGGAGTATTTTAGTTCGGTTGGGTTGCTTTTGGTTTGGTTGGTTGAAATATATTAGCACGGCTTGAGAAGAATAATCCTAATCATGCACTGCAGATGGAATTAAGGGGGCAATTGAGAGGGCAATTTATGTGGAAATTAGGCCGAGCTAATACCATCTGTTGGATAGACCAAGCTAGATATACACTCTTGGTCATTGCGCTGCGCTATGGGTGGAAATGAGAATGGAGTAAGCTCAGTCATGGATTGGGCAGATATTCGGCCCAAGGCTTGGACTGAGGTGATTGTGTTTGACCCGTATAGGACCGAGGTATCGAACTGGTTATCTCGGTTGAATATTCCTGGTTTTGTCTAGCGTGGGGCAAGGCCATGGTAGCTCGGTTGAGCTGCTACCAAGCCGAGGTATGAGGTTTGAACCATCTCACTTAGTTAGCAGTGAGTCGGGTGTTATCAGGATAGGCATTTATCCTTGGGAGTGTGATTCCAAGGAGGACTCTTATAAGGAGAGTTGAAGTCCTACTAGGATTATGCCAGGTGGAAACTATAAAAGCTCATAACAAGACCTATGTACAGGTATCACAATTCTTACTCTGGAATACACAGAGCTTTTGTGTCTATTGTTTATTTGCTAACTTAGGCATCAGAGAGGTTACCAGTACACACTCGCCGGCTAGCTCACGTTTGTGTTTTCAGGTGGCAAAGCGATGACGTTTGGAGGAGTGCAAACTTGATCAACAAGATTATACGAGAAGGTTATTTCTGTGCTTGTACAATTTCTTTTCTCATCTCTTCTTACAATCCAAACGGAAGGTAAGATATTAAACTCTCATGATCAAGGCAGCAAATAAGTATACAGAATAAAATCTTTAATGGATGGAAAATTGTTATGATGGGAATTAGCAATTGAGTAAGAAAAATTATAAAATTGTAGAGCACCTAAATGACTTAATAAATATAAGGATCTGAATAATAACAAATTCTGTAAAGACCAAAATAAAAAGAGAAAATTAGTGTAAGATCTCTCTCATATTTTTAGTAATAGAAGAGATCCACAATATTATTTTATGATGTCTAAAGTCCCTCAACCCCACACTCATATATCATAGAGAAATTTACTCTCTCTCTCTCTCTCTCTCTCTCTCTCCCTCCCTCTCTCTCGCTCCAAACCATTCCTCTCTCTCTCTCTCTGCTCATTTCTCCTCTCTTGGTCTTCAACTCCAATAGCACCACCACCACCCAACATTACCATCCCGCCGCCGCCTCGTAAAGATTGTTGCAGACGGAGGAGCAAGAGCGTCACTGACGAGGACCTCGACGAGCCCAAGGCTTGCATCGAACTCGGATTCCGGTTTGATCAATTCAGCAATGGTATGCTGTCGTTGTACTCGTTATCTTATTCGAATGGATCAATTTCTACCCATGAATTTTGGTCAAAGCATCACGGCGATGTTAGCTACAATCAGCTCCAAAAAGCACTGGCTTTATTTGTATGTATGTATGTATGTGGTTGGGTCTATGTTTATTATTTGTCCAAATTGGAATTGCAGTAGATCATTCTGTTAAAACATAGATAAATTTCTAAACAAATCAAATAAATTTGAAAACACAGAGAAAATTGTTGCTGGAGATTCAATAGTGAGTAAAATCTGACTTTGTGTTCATGAGCTTGATTAGTGTATTTCCATGCCTAAACCAAAGAAATTCTCTTATCTGTTTTTTTGTTTTTGTTCAATTTTCTCTGGATTGGAAATTTCTCTGGTTTGGAGAGAATTTCTCTGTGAAGTATAGAGAAAACTAGAGAAACTTGCAAACCAGAGAAATTTGTGCAAAGCAAAGAAATTTGCAAGCTAGAGAAACTTGGAGAGAATTTCTCTGCAGAGTGGGAAATCCAGAGAAATTTGGAGAGAATTTCTCTAGACAGTAATTTGAAGAGAATTTCTCTGGATAGAAGAGAAATTCTTTGGATTGAAATTTCTCTGGATCGATGTGTGAGGGACCTTAAATATTATGAAAATATTAGATGTTCTTTATACTATAAAATTTTAATATCAAGAACATTAAAACAAATCCCCAAATCAAATACCATGTCGAACTATTCAGTGGATTAGGTTGTCGAAGGGACAATGAATATCATCGAGGTTGAATTCAAAACTCACAAAATAAATGTGGAGAAATCGAAAATAAAATAAAAAATAAAAAAATAAAATTAGTGTATCTAGTGAATTTTGAAAATGTTTTTTTTTTATTGTAAATATTTTATTTTTTAAGTTTATTTAGAAATACATTTAAAAAGTAAAATAATAATATAATAAAACTATAAAAAGAGTAAAAACACAAAAGTACTTCGTAACATTTCGAATCATGTTAAATGAATCAAGCTATTTGAATTTGAATCTTATTCGATTTATGAAAAGTTTGTTTGAGATGGATTTATTGTGTAAACAAATCAAGTTTAAACACAATTTTAAGTTTGTTAAATTTTTATTTTAAACTTGAACAATTTGCTATTCAGTTCGGCTCAATAAACTTATATGCATTACAAACAATCAAGCTATTTAGACTCACTAAAAGCTCTTGAAATCAACTCATTATATAAATAAGTCAAACTTAAAAATAATTTTAAGAGTTAATAAATCAAACTTAAACAACTGCTCTATTCGACTCAGCTCGACTCGCTGATCTAGGCAACTCAGCTCGATTTGCCTAGCCTAGTTTTCAATCCTATGTATAGGCCCTTTTTATATTATAGTCGTAATAGTGAAGAAAGAAACCCTAGAATTTGGGTCTTCCAGAAGGTGAGTAAGGGGCCCTCTAAAGAAGTTGCCCAGACATTTCAATGGTAAAGATAAGGAAGGACCCAACTCTTTTTCTACCCAAAGTCGTCGCAACTATGATTAGCGCGTTTTATCTATGTACGGGGAGGAAATGGTAGGTAGTGAACTGTCAGCATTATTTCGTGTTCTGTACTGCCGTGTGAGGTGAGAAAGAGCATGGGTAGTAGACTTACAAAAAAGTCTTGACTTATGAAGTTTCATTGACGTTTGCTTATTGATTCATTTCTATATTCCAATTACTTACTTAGGGCTCGTTTGGGAACAGGCTAATTTAGTAACTTTTTGGCTAATTGGCTAAAAAGGTAGGTAAAAATTTTGTGTATGTTTGGGATGACTTTTTGACTAATTACGAAAAGCTGTGTAAAAAGTAGAGAGAAGCCGTAATTGTTGACTTTTTGGTATGACTAATTGGCTAATTGACTAATTTAGTAACTTTTTGACTAATTGACTAAAAATGTAGCATCCCAAACGAGGCCTTAATGTATGGTAAAATTAAAATTTTAAATTGTTTGTTTGCGTTCATTGACTTGTGTGCCAGCATACGTAAACCCACTTGGTTAATAATTTATTAGAGAGAATTATGAAGAGTTATATAATCATTGTAAGTTATAGCAACTTGACCATGTTGCTAATTTGATAGTCAGACATAATTAAATTAATGTTTCTTGATAAAAAAATAAATCAAAGTTAAATGCCTGCATATTTAGATATCAGTTCATTTACCTTTCAATTAATAAGGTCATTCTAGAGAGGTTCAGATGGGAAGTGTTACATGGCATGAGATCCTTTGTCCCAAATATCTCTATTCCCGTCTCAAAATAGTTACAGTTGTAGGATTATGTCTTGAGATTTTCATAGCTCAGCTATGAGGATCCTTGACTGTGTTCCGTAGTGCTGATAGTATATATAACTGCATGACTTATTACTTCATTGATCAGATTTTCTGTTAATTTGCTGAACTTATTTCCTCAACTCATCTTAATTAATTATCGCATACTAGTCATTGTTAATTTGTTATTGTCTTTGTCAATGCAACAACCCTCCTCAGAAACTCCTTGCTTAAGCTACAACGTGATTAAGGGTTCTATTAAAATTTCGTTGTAGCGTATTAAGAATTCTCTTATCCACTTGCAAAAGTTGAAATTTCAAATAATTTATTTATTCAGTGAATGTCTTATTTATTTATTTATTCATTTTATTAGTAATTTATTAAGTCAATGTTGACTGAATACTAAATGCAACAATTGTAGTTCAATTATTAAAATTGTAACAACCATTAATGAATTGTTTCATAGAGTACAGTTATTGTATGTGCTTTCTTTTAAATTTCTTGGTAGTTGTGTCACAAATTCTTGGTTAGCAACAATATGGCTTTATGTAAGAACCAGGAAATTGATACCTAGTCTAGACTTCACCTGACCATGAGCTTAACCATTCACACCCAAATTCCAAAAACAAATCTCAAATTTCTCAAATCAAAAATATCATGAGAGCCTTACCCCTTAGTAACAGTCTTCAACAGAGCCTGAGCATGTTCATGTTTCTTACCATGTCCAAATTGTGTGCTTCTGATCTGTAGCATCTCCCCAAACAAAACTGAGAGAGAGAGAGAGAGAGAGAAGTTAGCCAAATGGATGGTTTAAGCAAACGAATCATTGAACATTGGAAGAAGCTCTGGGAAATATGGGATGTCCGGGTAGTCATCCTTGTTAGCCTCTTCTTGCAAATCTTACTAATCTTCTGTGCGCCTTTGAGAAAGCGAATGTCAAGTGCTTTTGTAACCACGCCCTTGTGGTGGGCATACTTGCTTGCAGACATTACTGCTAACTTTGCAGTGGGACTCATCTCCAAAAGCCAATGGAGCACCTCTGGCTCTGAGACTTCTCCAGATCTTCTGGCATTTTGGGCACCCTTTCTCTTGGTTCACCTTGGAGGTCCCGACACCATAACCGCTTTTCCCTCGAGGATAATGAACTGTGGCTCAGGCACTTTCTTGGCCTGGGATTCCAGTGTTGGGCTGTTATCTATGCATTCGTTCAATCATATCCCTTTAAAAAGCTTTGGCGCCCCACCATGCTCATGTTTTTTGCAGGCCTCATCAAGTACACTGAGCGCACTCGGTCTCTCTATCTCGCTAGCACGCGTAGATTCAGAGACTCTCTGCTCACAGCACCTGATCCTGGGCCTAACTATGCCAAGCTCATGGATGAATACACTTCAAAGATCAAAGCAAAACTTCCCACAAGGATAGAAATGCTTCCAGAGCCTAATCGGGTAATCAAAACTGAAAGTGCTGGAGACAGAGACGACTTGTCCGATTTGGAGGTGGTGCGACGTGCTTATGGATTTTTTGTAACTTTCAAGGGGCTGATTGCCGATCTGATCTTCAGCTTCCGTGAACGCAGCCTGAGCCGAGACTTCTTCCTCAAGAGAACGGCAAGAGACGCCTTCAGAGTCGTGGAGGTAGAACTTAATTTCATCTATGATATCCTCTACACAAAGGTGGTGGTGGTGCAAAGTTTCTGGGGATACTTTTTTCGGTTTGCTTCATTTATGTTAACTTGTGCAGCCCTTTTGCTCTTCTGTTTTATGAGAAAGAAGGAATTTCATAATTTTGATATTGGAGTTACCTACACCTTGCTAATCGGTGCCATTGCCCTTGATGCAACAGCTTTAGCAATGGTCCTTTCCTCTGACTGGACTGCTGTGACCCTCACCGAGCCTGACTATCCATCCTGTTTCTTTAGGTTCCTTATATCGATACTCAGGGTTAAAAGAAATAGATGGCCAGAAAAGCAATGGAAGTCTATGCAAATGTTGCGCCGCAGGTGGTCTGAATCGATTTCTCAATACAACTTGATACAATATTGTCTGAACCCACGTATGAAATGGTGGGAAAAATTTATAGGCTGGTTTGGCCTTACCAACATGCTGGATGGGCTGAAATATGTGGAAACTGTCAGCTTCACCAATGAATTAAGAGACCATATCTTTGAGGAGTTGAAGATGAAATCTGAGATGGCGGATGATTTAGAAACTGCCAAGGAGATATATTCAGCCAGAGGTGATTGGGTTCTTCGGTTTGAAAGTTGCAATGACTTGCTCCCTTGGATCAATGAGGTCGATTTTGATGAGAGCCTTGTGTTGTGGCACATAGCCACTGAACTCTGCTTGAATGCTGAGGACTCAGGCAATGCTGCTAATGCTGAGGGTTTCAATGCTAAGAACTCAGAAAATGCTGCTCAAAACAATGCTAAGAACTCAGGCAATGCTGCTAATGCTAAGGGTGTCAATGCTAAGAAGTCAGAAAGTGCTGCTAAAAAGAAGGATTACCGTGAATTGTCTAAGCTCCTGTCTAATTACATGTTATACCTTCTAATCATGCAGGCAACAATGATGTCCACTGTGGCAGGTATTGGGCAAATAAGATTCCGAGACACCTGTGCTGAGGCCAAGAAATTCTTTCGTGGAAGAAAAATAAAGAAGGACAAGAAGAATTTCTGTCTCTACAAGTGCTTCTGTGGCAGTGAATCGGAACACAAGCAGCAAAATCAAACCAGCCCAAAAGCCCCCACTGCCCAAGAGCAACGAGGAGAGGAAACGACATGCTCATGCTTGAATATCTTTTGCTGCTTTAAGATATGCTGTTGCAAAGGGGATTCAGTACCAGATAAAGTGCAGAAACATGCCTGCAATAGTATCCTTGGTGTTGATACAGCAGTAAAACCAGTTGCTGTTAAAGGAGATAGAAGCAAATCTGTGTTGTTTGATGCATCCATGTTGGCCAAAGAGATGAATAAATTAGGAGAGGAAAAAAAATGGGAGATAATGAGCAAAGTTTGGGTCGAATTGCTGTCCTATGCAGCGTGTCGTTGCAGAGCCATTACCCATGCCTCACAACTCAGCAAAGGTGGGCAGCTCATCACTTTGGTTTGGCTGTTGATGGCTCATTTTGGGTTAGGGAGTCAATTTCAAATAAGTGAAGGGCATGCAAGGGCAAAGCTGATTGTGAGGAAGTAACTGAATTTGATTTCTTGTATGTCAATTGAAGATTGTGTGCTTGTTTGTTGTAGTCCTCTTTGGAAAATATAGTTTTCAGTGATGTAAAGAACATATTTTGCAGTTTGAATGTGTAATTTATTTTGGCCTCTTATTAAGGGTTTATCGTGATTTTACTCATTTGATACCTAAATCTTCTTTCTTACCCGTGTAGTAAACAGAGTAATTGCAGGTAATATGCGGTCCCCTTCATCCCTTTCCCCGCTTGCTAATATATATAAACTAATTTCTATTCTTTTCTGTAATTTAAGCTTAACTGACATGTGGATAATCGATGTTTCATTTCTTGAATCTATTGGCATTCTCTAAGATCATGAAGAAGTATGACAAGGTTTCACAATTTTGTTTTCATGATAATTGAACTGAACTGTAAAGTTATTAAATTTTGTTGCTTTTCCTTTTCTTATTATTAACTAAATCACAGATCACTTCAAGGAATGCATCGAAAGTTTTATTAGAGATGATAGACAAATCTTATATCGGCAGCTCTGATGAGGTTTGATGCACTTCACAAGTTTCTGTCTAATCTCAGTGGGATTAAATCTCTACTTTCTGATCCATAGAAATGGTAGAGGTCAAATGGAAATTGCAGAAAAAGGAATCAATACTTTGGTTGAGTCTTAAAAATCTGATTTCTAAAAAAAATTCAAAACCAGTTTGGTATAAGAAGGAAAAAAAAAAAAAAAACTCAAATTCATATGGTTTCTCTTTTTTGGGACGGAAATAATCTTTGAAAATTGAAAATATCAAACAGAGAATTTCTTGGGTAAGACTTTTGTTGCAAGAAGATATTGGACATTTTTATCTCAAATACCCAGCAGCAAATGCTGCACAAATTTCTGGTATTGTTGTTGTATTAAACAAGTCATGAACATGACTGATGCACACATAACTTAGGGACCATTCTATATACATTGTCAAAAAACTTATCAAAGAGGGCTAATAGAAGAATTTTGGAAAAAACTTAGGTAGCCATGGCCTCTAGGCTCATACATAGCTCTGTCCTTGGTCGTCTGCACACTCACCTCGAAAGAGAAGGAAATTTTCATTGGCTATATATTTCGGCCTCACCAACATTCTATATGAAATTAAGTACGTCAAAACTGGGTGATTCACAAAGGAGTTAAGAAACTTCATTTTAAAGGTTGTGGTACCTTACTTCCCTTTTCTTGAGGCTGATCACCATGAATCTTATAATGTCATAGCACATTGCCATTGAGCTTTGCTATAATACTTATAGAGTCAATGCTAAGAACAGTTAATTTCGTAGAATTTTCTAAGCTCTTGTCAGATTACATGCTATATCTTCTAGTTATGCAGCCTACAATGATGCCTGCAGGGCCAAAGTGTTAGCCAAATAAGATTCAGAGATACTTGTGCCGAATTCCTATGCAGGAAGGAAAATATTGTTTAGGGATGGGGCAGGAGGAGAAGCAATCTTGTCTCGATATTGACAAATGCTTCCGCTGCAGGGAATCAGAACAGGGACCGAGACTAGCCACCCCCAAATGTGCCAGCTGATTGGGAATTCTCTAGCCAAGGATAATCAGACCAGAAGTCATCACTCTAAGGGTCGGATTGAACACTTGGTGACAGTCTTACAGAAGAAGACATTATCTGTTTTGGAGGTTGAGATGGAACTGATTGAACAAGTTCATGGAGTCTATGAAGAGGAGAAAGACAGAACTGTTAAAAGGATTGTGATCATCAAATGAAGAAAATTGGGGCAATTGTTGAGATTGAGACACGGTTGGCAAAAGGGTCAAGAATGGCTGACCTGGAAATGAAGAAAAAGGACAATTTCAAATAGGTGAAGACCATGCAAGGGCAAAACTAATCGCAGGGAAGTAGCTGAGTCACTTTGCCAGTGACAGAGAGATATGGACTTGACTCACTGGTTCCAAGGGCAAAACTAGTCGCAGTAAAAGTGAACCAGGTTCCAATCCTCTTGGGGCTCACCGGTTCAAAATTTGGACTTTGGCATCCCACCCTTCATTGGTGAACTAATTCAGTTCAGTCCTTGAACTTGTAATGCATGCACTGTGTGATTCAGGATGATACAGAGATTTAAGCTACCATAACTCTGATTTTAAATTTTCAACCACAGAGGAGGAACAATCACAAAGGAGGAAACAATATCAGGATGAACTCAGATACTGTTGTTACTAGAACACACAGAAATTAGAATACTTGGATACAAGCTCAGGAGAGAGATGTTTTGTTTTTCGACCCTGCAAAAGGTTCATAAATTGCAGTGAACCGATACCCTTTTACGTAACTGGCTTATGGCTTGTCCCAGCTAGTCATTATATTTGAAGGGGTAATTTGAAACATGTAGCTTTCTTATCAGGGTCATGTCTGTGATGTTCATTTTTTTGCATTTTTATGCTTAACAGTGGCTTTAGATTGTTAGATTAGAAATGAAGAACTAGGATTGTAATGATAGCACGGGTGATGCTATGGTACATTTAGGTGTACCATACATTTAGTTATGAACTTATATGATTTTATATCATAACCTATACCATATTAGTCATAACTATCACCATATTAACTCATAACTTAGTTATATTCAACTGTTTTACAGAAAATTAAAGCAGCATTCAAAACCATATGTGAACTAAACTCTGATTTATGTCGACTAAACAATACACATGCAAAATAAAATAATAATAATTAAATATTTAAATGAGAAATCAGAAAACATAAGCAGTTCTTATTTGGACCATGTTGAGAAAGGATTTAGATTTTTGTTTGGATAAAAGGCAATCTATTATAGAAAGTTATCGAATAGGAAAGTGCACACTTTCTTAGAAAGGGATATTTTTTCTTTTTGTCAACATTCTAAAGTTACAGATGTCAGTTTGTTAGTAAAGTTAGTGTACAAAAAGAAGTGTACCATTTAAAGGGGCCACTACTTGTAACGACCCCAAAATGCGTATAAGAAGTTATCCTTGTTTAATTATGGGATAATGTTTTTTAATTTAATTATATCTATTGGAATTAAAGAACTATCTATTGAGTTATGACTTTAAAACTGGAATTGACGACCTTTGTGGGTTCAGAAATCGGAATTGAGTACATAGATATATTAATGGAAATTTTTAGAACTATTTGAAAAAATTAATTTGTCTGATTCGTTAATGTACGTTTGGGTGGTTAACTTGGTACTGCAAATTGAAAGCCTTAGAGGTTTCAAAAACCAGAACAGGGGACATATTTATGATCAGCACTTTTTAGAGTCATCGGGGAAGTTTAATTGAAATTTTATTTTGCGCGATTCATAAGGCCATGTTTGGCTTCCCTTGTGTTAAGCTTGTGTGTGTGAAATATTTATACATATAGAGATATGCCATTTGAGTTGTGAACTCATCTTTTTGAAGTCAAAAAACAAAATATCTGAGGAAGAGAGAACCGTGAGAAAGAGAGGCCAAGAGAGAGTGAGAGAGAGAGTTCACCATTGTTGGAAGCTTGAAGATGACTTGAAGAAACTGAAGAGAGAAGAAGCAGATCAACCATGGAAGCTTGGGGAAATTAAAGAGAACTATGAGAAAGTCAAAGAGTGAACTAAGGTATGATAAATTATCTTGAATTCTTATGTTTGAGGCATCAATTTCATGAAATCATGATAATAAGGGAAGCTTTGAACCCATTTGAGTTAGGGTTCTATGTATATATTTGATTGAACCTTGATTTCCTAAGAGTTGCTTGATTGAAGAATTAAAGTCATTACATTTGTTTATTTTGAGGTTATGATGTTTGATGGAGATTAATAATGTGAAATTTGTTATGTATTAAAGGGTTTTGGGCTTTGATTTACATGGAATTGAGGTTTGATTTTGAAAATGAGAAGTCCCAATTCTTCAGGCATTTTCGGGCTGCAAACTGCCCAGGGCCGCACGTGTGGCTCTGTTTCCCGCATGTGCGGGAGACAGCTTTATCCAGCCAACTTTGAATAAGCATATCTTTTGCTTCGGGACTCCGTTTTGAGTGATTCTTGAGGCTAAAATCAAGCCCCATGAGTCTAGTTTGCAATGGCAGTGGTCTCACTCCCAAATTCTAAATACAGAAATAGTTATGCCCAAATTAGTGACGATTGTTCACTTTCTGTCAACCAGTTTTGTACCATTTCTTCACCTAACCACATATCTCATAACCACTAAGACATATAGCATAACCAAACTCCTTTTGGCACCACTTTACTCATAACCATTACCCACATATCTCATAACCACTAACACATATAGCATAACCAAACACCTTTTGACCCCACTTTGCTCATAACTATTACCCACATATCTCATAACCACTCATAACCATTACCCACATATCTCATAACCACTAACACATATAGCATAACCAAACACCTTTTGACACCACTTTGCTCATAACTATTGCGCGCATATCTCATAACCACTAACACGTATAGCATAACCAAATACCCTTTGACACCACTTTGCTCGTAACCATTAGCCACATGTCTCATAACCACTAACACATATAGCATAACCAAACACCATTTGACACCACTTTGCTCATAACCATTACCCACATATCTCATAACCACTAACACATATAGCATAACCAAACACCCTTTGACACCACTTTACTCATAACCATTACCCACATATCTCATAACCAACATCACTTATATCATAACTACTAATCACATATCTCATAACCAAACACCTTTTGACTTATAACTATACCACTCTGCTCATAACCAAAATCACATATCTCGTAATCACTAATCATATATCTCATTACCTTTACCCACATATATTATAACCACATCTCATAACTAGCACCCTTTGTTTCATAATCAATATCGCATATATCATAACTACTAATCATATATCTCAGAACCACTACCCACATATAGGGGTATAAATTTGGCCCATGAGCTCGCGACACACCCCAAGTCCGCTCGTGCCCTGGGTAGGCCTAACTAGGCTTGAGTC